TGGGGGCCTGACCCCCATCCCTTGGGGCTCCTGGGGACACCCTGGCAACCCGGCCTGAAGGATGAGGGGGAGCAGGGACACCCCAGGGCATCGCAGCCCAGGGATGTGGGGCACCACGGACACCCCAGGGAAGCCTGACCCTCAGGGAAAGGGCAACCAGGGACTCCTTGGGGACCCAACCCCCAGGACAAGGGGGACCCGGACACAGCCCCCCGGGTCCCTGTGGTGGCCCAGCAGGCACACAGCCCCCGCCCCAGCGGTACCTTCTCGATGGTCAGCGTCTGTTGAGCAGTGCTGGGGTTGTTCTGGTCATAGGCACCCACCACCACTTTGTCGGTTTTCCTGGGCACGGGCAGGCACTGAGCACAGGGCACGGGCACGGGGAGGGGGCAGCCCTCACAGCCCCCGTGTCCGTGCCCAGCCCCGCGCCGCCAGCAGCAGAGCCGGTGCCTACCTGACGCCGCAGTGGGCAGCGGTGACCACCCAGTTCTCGCTGATCAGGGACCCGCCGCAGAAGTGGAAGCTCCCGTAGCGCTGCCGGGGAGAGCTGCCCTCAGCACCCGGCACTGCCGACGGGTGCTCTGTGCCCGGCCCCCCCCCCACGGCACCCACCCCGGGCCCGGCTCTCACCTGCAGGGACACCTGCCATGGCCAGGACCCCGGCACTGCCGGCTCCCCGTTGACGATGCGGGTGTAGCCACGGACGACGGGGGCGATGGCGGGCACGCCGCAGTCTGCGGGGCACAGGCGGCCGTGGCACGGGGGCTCCGGCTGCTCTGGCCCCGTGTCCCCTCCCCACCACTGCCACCCCACCAAGCTCCAGGCCCACCCTGCCAACCCCCACGGCCCCACGCACCCTCAGGGAGGGCGGCACGGGCAAAGCCCACCAGAGCCAGGCAGCTCAGCAGCCACAGCAGAGCCATTGTCTGTCACTCGTCAGGATGGACCCTGCCTGGCACCCGGTGCCTCTTATACCCACCCTGGGCACGTCCCCACAGCTGCTGGCCTTGCCACCGCAGCCTTGGGAGATAGGGTTGCACCTGGTACGGTGCCATGACATGGCCTGGGAGCATGGCACCTGGAGCCAGTGTCCTTGGCTATGGCTGTTGGACGGCACGTGGTCCAAGTTCTGGCTTAAAAATGTCCTTAGTCCGGTGCATGGGGTGAGTTCTCACTTGGTCATGGAATCATAGTAAAGTGGTTCTGGTTGGAAGGGTCCTCACAGGCCAACTTGTCTGTAAAGGCTCTGCTGCCTTTTTTTTTTTTAATCTAATGTGAAGGAAGGAGCTGGAAGACCATTCCTGTTGAGAGGAAGGATGAAACTCAGTCCAGACATCCACTATAATAGGAATAAATGGGAATTGTGGGCCCACAGGAATATCAGAGCAGTGAAGCAAATGTTGGTAGAAATAGGCTACGAAAGGCATGTGGGAATTGCAGCTCTGGTGCCAAAATGAGCCCATGCCAGCCTGGGTCCTTATTACAAAATCACACAATGGTTTGGGTGGGACGGGATCTTAAAGTTCATCTTGTTCCAGTCCCCCTGTAATGGGCAGAGACACCTTCCACAATCCCAGGTTGCTCCAAGCTCCATCCAACCTGGCCTTGAACACTTCCAGGGATGGGGCAGCCACAGCTTCTCTGGGCAACCTGTACCAGGGCCTCACCACTCTCACGGGGGAGGATCTCTTCC